CTGCCATCCTGCACTTGCGGTTGAGGTCCGGCGGGGAACACTGCCATCGTGCACTTGTGGTTGAGGTCTGGCGGGGAACACTGCCACACGACCCTTGCAGTTGAGGGGAACACTACGTACCACCTGAGGCTCGCGGCTCGCGGTTGAGGACAACACGGAGGAGGAGGAGGAGGAGGTCAGACAGCTGACATAAAATATAAAACAACCCTCACCTGTCCGAACTCTTTCCTTGAGGAGACTGGAAATCTGACCCTCGGACCCTCAGAATCGAACAGGACAAAATGTACCAAATTATTATAATTTTTGCATGCAGCGTTTGGAGGTCGCTTGGGACGGCACATACGCCGCAGATTGGGTCGCTTGAATTCCTCCGGCAGGTCCCACTCTCCAAGGCACAGCATCACACTCTCCTCCGTCTCCACGGAAGAACGCCGGAGCGACACACGGCTCTCATCCCGGCTGGTGGGTGACCCAGCACCGCTTGGGGCATCCTTGGTTTGCTTTGGAATGGTCTAGGGATGCAGCAAAAAAAAGGAAAAAGTGACGTATCCTCTGTGGTGTACGTTCTATTTTATTTGGCAGGTTGCGCTTGTTGGATCGCTGGGATGCAAAACGGTCAAAGCTGAACTTCGTTCTAACTCCGCTTTACGGAATTTCCATAAAGACAGGAAGAGAGCGTCAACTATCGCTATCGTGGCTGTGGCCTGGGATGCCTTGCAGAGAAACAAATACTTGCCTGATGTGCACTTCTGACTTAATCTCTTCTAAATTCGTGTCTGCAGAGTGATTTCTCCCACAATGAGTGTTTGATGTGTTTTGTACCCAGCACTAATCAGCAAATCCAAAGCTTTGCTGATCTTCACCCTGATCTCTGAACATGCTCTCATCAGGTCCGTCACTTGACATATTATAATATAGTATATAAAGATAGTTTAACTATACTATAGGGAGAGGGAGAGACAATGCATATTTGCGTGTTTGTGCAGTTGGTAATCCTGGGTGGTTCCCCTCCAGCCCTTTTCGTCACCATCCAAGCAGCCCAAGAACTCCCCGCTCCAATCAGAACGAGAACTCACCACTTCGACAAACACCAGAAAAAGCCCTTCGACAAACACTCACTCAACATTCCCTACACATGGATATGTCTGGATACTGAAAAAATGACAAAACGTGCCAAAACAACATGTTGCACATCTACGAACGAAGAAATCGCCTAAAACGATCTAAACGATCAAATATATTTGGGGTGCCCACACGAGTTTCCCACAGATTCACTTCTGCAAACTGTCCACTGAAGGAAGAAACACCGCCAAACGTTGCTTTCGCTGCACTCCTCCTTCCCATGTTGTGCCAAGTATCTCCCACGAAGGACCCGCCAGGTGTGGAGACCAGCATGGAGAGCCGCGGCTCAGAGCTGCTACGCCCTTGGAACAGTGCGAGAGGGTAGATGATGAGGGAGAATACGGGAAAATTAAAGTGGGATCATGATGCTGAGGAATGGAAAAGTGCGAAAGGGATGGTGGAGCACTCGTGATGGGGGGCTTCCTGACTGCAAATCGACGTTGAAATCTTCTCAGTGAGTTGAAAATGGAAAACTGTTTTGAAAAGTCTGTACCGGGGATTTGGTCGGACTTGGGTTACGTTGTAGTGTGGGGCATGGCTAGTTGAGCTGGTTCTTCAGGAAAGCCACTCACCCTGAGCCACTTGTGATCCCGACCACCCTTCTACAATCAGAGCCAGAAGCCCAACTGACTTGCAAAGGGTCCGCTTGCAAACCATGGTGGAATACTGTGCAATATATCTTTTGTACAGAAACAAAACCTCACAGTATTCAACAAGAAGCTACTAGGGGCTCCTGGCCTTACTACTAGGAGCAAGAAGCGATTAGGAACAGTAGCTAAAACCCATCAGTTTCCCGATTCTCCCAGTTCCTTCACTCCCTTCACACCTCGGGAGTCGCTCATAAAAGCCGCCGGCGTCAAGGCGATCCCCACGCCGGTGGCCAGGAACCTCGGCACAACATGCGGTATCCCAAAGGTGAGGTCGTCTGATTGGTGTGCAAATTGGAAAATGAAAGGTTTGGAAGTTTGGAAGACTAACTGCTATTTCACCGTCTCGCCGTTTGTCTTTGCCCAGTCTGCTCCAAATCATGGTGCTTTGTCTTTGTCCCGACTTCCACCACCTCTAATTAGATGGAATTCGGCCAGCAAGGGGGCTCTTTCTGATCCCATCTACTCTACTGTAATCGTCTGCTCTTTGTTCGGTGTGGAGCTTTGAAGTCCTCTCGGAAGGAGACTGCGGAAGACTCAACTAGGAATCCAAGGGACAAGAAGCAGGTCCTTTTTGCTGAAGAAAAGCTTGGCATGTCAATCTCAGTGGAAACAATTCCCATAGAGTCAAGCTTGTGTAGGTTGATCATGTGTTGAATGATGGTGGATGATAGGTAGACAACCTACTACAGTATCACTATCTAAACCACATTGAATCACAAACACTATACCTTGGGCTCGAAACATGAAGAAAAGTAATATGATTGTCCAACACCATCAACCAAATGACTCATCAGGCTGCATGTGAAGGGCTGGTCCTAATAATAGACGTGTTCGCGAGCAAACATGACTAGTGCAGCAAAATCTAGGAACCAAATCCTTAGTGCGAGCATTTCTTCAAGGAGGCTCCCCCCCGCCCTCATGAGCTATCCTGCGTCCTACCTAGAAGCTAACTTGGATTAACTTAGCCTGGTAGCCTACCTCCCTAAATACTTAAATACGGGCTTAACAAAATCTATTTAACAAGAAGGTCGGGGATAAAAGGATGGAAACGGTATATAACGCCTTCGGGTTGGAATCTCGAACACTCCGGATCCATGGAGTCAATGTGTTTTTCTGCCACCGTGTCACCAAAGGCAGTTCAGCAAGAAGACTGGAACCCAATCGCCCCAGTAGCCTGGCGAATGAAAAATACAGGGCGCAAGTGGATCGTCTTTTCTGGGATGCGGTCGAACTAACGTGAATCAACAAACAAGTCAACTACTAACTACTCTTCCGGGCCAGGATCTTGCTTTGGATCAAACTGTGGGATCTCCATGGGCTGGTCCATGGTGGACATCTCCAAGAAAGCCTTTCCATCTCATGTTCTGCCTCCAAACAGGCTCAAGGAGATCAGCATCATTCTTTTGTCCGCTGAGAAGGCTTCATCAGGATCGACACTGACGGCTTCAAGATATCAACTCTTGGTCTGGTTCAATCCTTCAGACAGGACCCAAATGGGTGAGAACCAGCTCGAACTGTGGCAACTCGACGCCTAGCCGGAAGGGATTTCTCCCAAACGATTGATCAAATCTCACAAGCGGATATATACTGACATTTCATCGCTGTTGATCTCCAACAAAAACAACTGTGAGAGGAGGAACAGTATGGGAACAACACAAATTGAAGAGGTAAGCGCCTTTCTGATTCCATGTTCCAAATGTTCAAGTTGAGGAGGGGAAAACCCGACTCTTGGCCCTCCCTCCACGCCTGCCACGGTGTAACCGATCACCAGTCCCACCAAAGAGCTGGCCTGACGGACTGAGTCTTGCATCTACCACCCGTCCCCAGGCTGTGATTGTTCACTTCGGGAAGGGCCCGACCGTGAGCCGTCGATGATTCGATCCAGCAGGTCGGCGTCTGATTTCGATAACCAAGAGGGTTTTGATTCGGGCACCATGATCTGTTTACTGCATTGGTTTATTGGAATCAAATTCCAAACCCTTTGCATCCCATTTTGGCCCTGGTGGTTTCTGAATCGTAGTATGCCTTGGCGTCTGAATCGTAGTTTCCTGATCGCTTGGTTTCTGAATCAGCTATATATGGGGCCTCCCATCTGGGGCCCTGGGTGGATGGGGCCCCAGAATAAATTTTTAATTCCGGGGTGCAGGACCTAATGGTTGCCAAAAATTATTCCATATGTGAAGAGTTGTCAGGAATAATTTAAAGCAACTTCCAACATGCAGTCTATATGGCATCCTGAGGGAGGCAGTTTCTTTTTATGGCAAACATGTAGTAAAGGCAAGGCCTGCACACCACAAGCTTTACTAGTACTTGCGCTGCTAGAACTAGCCCAAAGATACCAACTCCTCACCAGAAGCCTTACTAGTTTTTGCCCCCCTGTACACAATCTCCATAACCACCAGAAACTATTCCAGGGGTGGTTCAGTTCTGGTAGGGGCCTAGAATAATATCACCTCCCCTGTTTGCCTCTATACCTAACCCTGCCTGCCACTATGCCTCACCCCAAAACCCATGACAAAACCCTTAAACCTCAAGCTTTCCCAACCCATACCAGAAGACTTAATTACTAGTATTTGTCATTCTGCTCCCTATTTCCTGCGCAAGATAAAATTATTCCAGGGGTGGTTGGCATAATATCACCTGCCCTGTCTGTTGCTGGAAAGAAGAAACCAACCCAAAATATCAATCCTTACCAAGCTCTCCAACCCTAGTTACTAGTATTTGTGCTCCTAGGCTCCTAAGACTAACCCAAAATACCAACCGGGGAGCTCCAAGCTTTCCAACCCATCTACAAGGCTACGAGTTCACCGCTTCCACTTTTCATACGTCTCAGCTCTTTTATCTTTTCCTGCTTGTCAGCTGCTTTTCCGTACTGGGCTATCCCCTGTGTTTAATGGCCATGCACTCAAGAACCTCACCCCACTACAC